GCAAGGTGCATTTACGAATTGTCTAATTTTATCATACACTTCGCATTTGCGAATCCTTCGAACATGAAAATTAATGAGTAGTATAAAACTTGGATTTAGCAATATGCATTTACGAAATTCGTAAAATGCTCTCAATAATGTGTATTTACCAACTGACCGAATCAAACGAACTGGAGTTTTCATTTTCATGGTATGAAAGTGTTGAAACAACAGTTTGCACGGTGCGAAGTGCATTTCGTTTTTGAACACCTTGGCCGCACAATTGTTATTTTGATCAAATGCATTTGGTATTTGTTCATGAAACGATGTCATCTGTTCATGCTGTCAACTTTCATGCGAAACAACATTGAAATTACGTGTTAAAGATAAAATCACATACAAGAAAAAATGATCAATGAATATTGCTATATGACAAATATCTCAAAAACTGTTATCAAGCAGTACAACGAAAAATATTGTCAATTAAAAAGTTGTGCTTGCTTTAAACTTAAATCGCATTGCAAAAAAAAAGCAAATTAGAGCGAAAAAGTATAACGTAAGTGTAACATTTTGCTTATAGACTAATTAAATAAATAAAAAAATTGTATTAATGGAATAACACGTATTGCAACCATCAAAGATCTTTTTTCTATCGTTTTCTACCGATAAATGATTAGCTATAAGAAATAACCATCAGTAAGAGACTGAAAAATATCTGGCATTCTCTCGTAAGAGTTCAGCAAAATCTTCTGTCATCCAACTATAAGAGCCTGTGATAGTTGTACCATCAAACTTTAAGGAGAAGACTTCTCCTCATACAGTTGATTTTTTGACTGGAATCAAAATCGAGTTTTCTTCAACGCTGGATAGCCGGAAGCGTTCTCTTTCATAATATATATTGCTTCTGCTGGAAAAAATTAGGTGTTGATGGATTTTTGAATATTTTTTCAGAAACTTCTTCACAGTTAGACCGATGAAATTCTTATTTCTTTTACGCTTTTCTCACAACAGAGTTTCCACTTAGTAAAGTACATAAATCTAAAAGAAAAGGACCGATGATTCTTAGATTCAACCATCCAGATTCATTTGATAGTAACCGCAGCTTCTACAACTATTCCCCACGATGAGAAACGTGTAACAGCCCCAATTTCACTTTTGCACAGCTATAACTTCTGAGATAATCAACATTTTGAGCTAATAGCTTTATCATACGTATTTATACGACCGTCTAACACTTCTGCCAGTTTTGGACATACGCTTTAGAGAATTTTTCCTGAGAGAGAACCCTGTTTCAGAAATTATTACTACTGTGATGGAGAATCGATGAAGAATGTATCGAAAAACACACAGAACATTCGGGACCATCTTCTTTCAAGCATTCTCCTCTAAGGGAAACGCTGTTATCAAAACTTTGCAGAATAAATGGAGAATAAACGTTGAGATTATTAGATCAATCAGTTACAGTAAGCCAAAAGCTGTAATAACTTTCTTCATCTATGATCTTTAACTTAAGATCGAGTTGTGCACAATCTGAAATAAGAGGAAAGTCTGAACTACAAAATAAGGTCGATCTTCTTTTTACAAAGTTATAACTTTTTTAATTTTTTACCTAAAAGATAAAAACAGACTTAATTTTTTTAGTTTTGTAAATTTTTCTCTCCTTTCCAGTGCTTTCAAAATATTTTCTGATACGTAGACTGATAGAACAAAGTGTTTTCTTCATCAATAATCTCCCAAAAATTTTCAATGGTTTTTCGCGGAGTAAAGAGTATTAATTTATATTTTTATATGATCAATACTAAAATAAGGCTATTTTTTAGTTATTATCGATCCCGTTACTCAGATAGATGATGAATATCGTTGTAGTGCGTCTCAAAGTATGTTACGCTTTTTTATATTTAGCATTCAAAATAAGATTCTAATTAACGTTTATGTGTGTTAGATATTCAAATTCAAGCTGTCCAACCAATATGGAATAAAGATGCAAGATTTTCTAGTTGTCCAGTTGCTGAAACAATTCTGCAGTATGTTGAAATTAGTGTCAGTGTTCAGTTTGAATAAACGAGTATCTTTTATTTCTTAAGGTATTATCGTTGTAATGAAATTACACGTTTTATGTATACAAGAACGTTTATTCGTGACGAAGATCGTAGTGCGACACTTGATATTGCTGTAAGATTCTCTTCTTGCTATATTTATGCAACTTGATTGTTTTTTTTGGGTTTCTGTTTTTAGAAATACTCGTCTGAACGGTATGAATTTTCCACTTTACTTCCTCTACCAAACGCAGCACAATGGATTTCATGTGGTGAATCTGTTAAAGTATGTTATTTTCCTGTTTTTTCTCTTTATATATGGCAACATTAACAATTTTGTGTTTTCACACAGTTCTTAGTCCGTTAGAGAATGCTGTTCAAATGCTTGATAAAACGCATAGAGAATTAAAAGCATTGGTCGAGACAAATGAAATGGATAAGGAGCTTAATGTAACACCCTTGTTTGGAAAAGTAAATAAGACTAATCGCCTATCTATCCTAAGAGTTGATTTTCAATGAAAATTTAGACAGCCGGAATTCTAGATGCTGCTGTTATGGGAGGAAATGTGGTGGTCGAACAGGTAAGTGTATTGACTTGATCTTTCTCTCTTCGTCTACATTATGTTTTTTTCTCGGCATTTTTATCTGATGAATATTTGACAGCCCATCGAGACGACCATACACGGGTATTAATTGAAAATCTTAAACAAAGATTAGTTGATCAGGTACATTGTTCTGGGATCATGCAACATTTCTCAAATAAATAATTATGTTCATTTTAAAGATACCATTGTTAGAAAGAGCGTTGATAATTATGAAAGAAAAAGCAAAATCAGAAGCATTTCCACATTTTGAACATTTACGTAATATTTTTATGCATTAAATTCGGGAGCCTTAAAAGTAATTTTTTCAAATTACTTTTAAGGCTCCCGAATTTAATTTTCGGAAGTACCCCGCACTAAAATCATGGTCCCAGAGGCAATCGACCATGCTGATCCGAATATCGCATTCCTCCGGATTCAAATCGCATTTCTTTTTCTCAGGCTGAGATATATATGCAAAATGAAAAATCTTCGAAATAATTTTTATTAAACTCAGTACCACAAAAAGTAGCACTATGATGTAGGTTGTTCATTTTGAGTATGGAGTAAGCTATCAAAACAAGTCAGTGAGTATCTGTTCAGACATCTTTTGTAGAACTTTGCACGGCACATCTTTCAAAAAAAATTCAAGATTTTATCACTTCCCTAAGGCAAGCTATGTGTGAAATACACCCTGCATAACGTTGGCCGATTTCGAAAAATTTATCATTATATTGTCATGTTTATGGTTTTATTACTACTATAAGGGAAGATGTTATTCAATCATATATCATTTGAAAGGCCGTGACAAGTACTACAAACTGATATAGGGACATAATGGTTAGACATTGTTTAATGTGTTCATATAAACGAATTTTGTCGCGTCCCAAGACTTATGAAACACCCTGTATGTGATGACGTCACACAATCATACAAGTGTGATAGAAAAGAAAAGATGATACATATATCATGACGCTAACTAACACAGGAATTAAAATCTATTTTTCTCCGTATTCTTGACAGTATGTCAAAACAGAGCGTGAATTAGTGATGTGATGTCTATGTTTTTGTTGTCCTTTAGTTTTTACTTGAAGGATAATATTTATTAATGGTGTTTGGTCATTCTAGTCATTCTATTGTCGACTGTTGTTGTCAATAATATGATCGAAAGATGTATGGACATATGTCAGAGACGACATTAAGCTACATTGAGAAAAAAAGAGAGATTGCTTATCAATATATTTCAGTTACATCATTTCCCGAAGCCAATAGTTAGTCAGAAGAACAATGTTCTTTATTCTCTTAGTATTTCATTGTTCCCTACGTGATATGATAATAAAAAGCATTAGGATTATGATTAACAAGGCAATAACGAATTTCTTGAGATTATCTCTTAGCGTCTTGCAAAACAGAATCTGATTGTCAGAGGTGGGTAAGTCAAGTCAGGTCAGGTGACTTGACTTCATCTGACTTGGTCGAAAAAATTTTGGAGTGTGACTTGACTTGACTGGAGGTTTTTTACTAACTTGACAAACCTCTGACCTGCCCAGTTGGACATTGCTTTTTACCATGAAGTAGAATTCTGGGATTATAGAAACTATCTTTCACCCGATAGTGCTATCACATCTTATGTTCTACCTAAGTTTTAATTAGACTTGGCTTAAGTTGAAAGAAAAAAATTTCGCTGAATGAGTTGACTTGACTTGTGACCTGAAAATCTCTAATTTACCCACCTCTGCTGATTGTCACGAAATGGAATAAAGTTCATTATGAACAATCTTTGCTTGAATGTCAAACCAAGAATTTTTATTTTGTTCATCTAAGACAGCTTGTATCGATGTTTGATTACTAAGATACCATTTGAAGAATGAGCCATCGCTGCTACTTTTGGCAACACTTAAATACAAGTGAGTAGAAGTATACAATTGATATTACATGATGATATTTGATGAGAATTAATTAGTTATTTCGATCAATTTAGTTTTTAATTTTCTTTAAAGAATAAATCAACAGAAAGAAATCTATCTAAGAATCGAAAGAGACATTGATGATAATTTAGATTTTTCTTTGACAATCAATTATCTATCAAGTAAAACTATTTAAAATATTTCCATAAAAGTTTATCGATATTTATGTATTAAATTCTGTTGTATCATTCGTTCATAATCTTGTTCTCTCAATCCTAATATAATATTAATCGATTCATCATTTACATGTGCATCTATCATTTCAAAATATCGTGGGTACAATACATCTGTTGGGCCATTGTAAATAGGATATCCGCTATTACCAAATTTGGCACCTAATAGATTTATTTTTCGCCATGATGCACAATGAAAATCACGATTAATTACATCAGCATCTACTCGATTCTTTTTTATATCACCATCACCACTCATTAAATAAGCATTATAATCTCTCAATGAATGTTCCGTTTGTTTGGAATACATTTCATGTATCATTTGTGCTAATGATGAAAGAGTTGGTTCTCGATCTGATGGTATTTTACCATAGAGCCAAAATGGAAATGAACCGAAGTAATTAAGAACGGCTGGTGAACACGAAGAAACGAAACGCGGTCGACCATTGAATGATTGTAGAATTTTGATATTATCAGTTAATGAAGTTTGAGTCGCTTGAGCAATCACTAATATCATATGTGCATAAAGAGCATCATAGGTGCTGATATAATCGATTGATTCTGGTAGAGATTTTGATGCTTCTTTTTTTAGATTTTTTAATTCATCAGTAGAGAAAAAATAAATTTTGCAAATAACACGCTGTTGCTGTTGTGCTTCGGCGAATACTGAATCAGAAGATTGATTAATATCACGGTTGAAAACGCAGTTCTTTGGTCGAGTTAGAGAGCTGATACATTGTCGTTGTTCTTCAGTAGGATATAAAACAAAAGTTTTGTCGAACATTGGCATTGGTTCTGGTGGCTTAGCTGATGCCCATGTATTGATGAAATGTGACATAGCATGTGGATCAAAGAAACAATGGAAACCTGATATACTTAAAATAACGCTATTACATTTCAGACGCGTTACTTGTATCGATACACAAGGTCCTGTCCAATCATTGTTTACTTTTACGACTAAATTACTTGTATTGATATGTTCATAATCAAATTCTTCGTCCGAAAGCGTTCGAGGTATGAAATAGTCCATAGTTTGATTCGGACATTCTGCTTCGGTATAAAGAACACCTTCATTTGTTAAATGAACAATGACATTGCCTTTCGCATCTTCAATAATACGACCAGCTAACATGGGAAAATAATTGAGTGTATCCGATAGAGTAGTTGTTAAATGATTAGATGGCATAAAATTATCTTTCGACAAGTTTGCAGTATTCGAATAGAACCATATCATATTAAGAGGCCATTGCTTTGTATTCGATTCAACAGCCATACATACTATAGGTTCAACATTTTCCGTTGGATTTGAACATTTAATTGTTATAGACGGTTGTTTGATGATAGTAGCCATAATGTACGTGTGTATGTGTGTAAAACAAGGTCGATGTCTTTTATATTTGTTTTGAAACGATGTGTCGCAATTCCATTTTGTTCTTGCGAAAGAAGAGAAAACCGATGGTATACATCCGACGTCGCGAAAGGATAGAATGGAAAAAAGGTAATAACAATCGTGACTTGATGTCAATAGAAACAAAGCAAACGTCGTGTAGACGCTCGTTGTTATTATTTTTTTTTCCTTTCAATTATTTTTGGGCTGAATGTATTTCTTCTCGAAACAATATTAACTGCTGATATGGGCAATAGATAAGAGAACATATTTATGCTAGGAGATATCGCTTCTGCCATGACACTCGTCCATCGAAAAAAAAACTGAAAACGTAATCTGCAATCGAAATAATAGACAAAGACATTAATTACTTTTTCTGGACGGTGTGGAAGTATCATGATCGTTAGCAACGTTTGTATGGTGAAAGTATATCAGTTATAATGTTAATTAGTTGGAGCTGTAACACATAATGAATTCAATTGCTAGGATCAAACTTGATTGCAGACGGACAGACGATATTGGTTGACTGAGAGATACATCAGTCTTACGAATCATTAAGAAAATAATAATCGAAAATCTAAACAAAATCGTGATGAAAAAATCGTATTAATGAGAGAAGTATCTCAATTTGCTATTTTTCGATTATAAAGTATTAAGACCCAGAATATTATTATACTAATTAGCGATCTGAATTATCGATTCATTACATAAAATAAGTGGTATTGTTTCACTTACTTGAGCATGGCTGGATGTGCTCGGTAAAAATATTAGAGAGTAAGACAGATTGTCATTAAGACAAACACTGAAATAAGACGAATCTACAATTCACCAATAGAAAGTTTTCCTTAACTACCCATGTAAGCACGAAACACAAAGTCGATGCGTTGAAACGCGGCGAAAAACGTTCCTACGACGCGTGCAAGCGCGGTTTACTATGAAATGAATTGACACGCGTTAAAAAAAAATTTTGAAACGTGTCTGGACGCAGTTTTTCCATACAATGCGTTTAAACGCAACGGAAAAAACTGAGCCGCGTCTCAACGCGTTTCTGAAAAATATTTAACGCATTTGAACGCATTTTGTCTACTAACTGTGTTCAAACGCGTCTCAAATATTTTTCCAGACGCGTTGAGTTGCGATCATATTTCTAAGCGCGTTTGTACGCGTTCATTTCTCGCATTTCAGACTCGATTTTACTCTAAAAGTTGTTGCTCTAGAAGTGATAACCATGTGATCGAAATCGTTGGTTTACATATATTTTATTTATCTAAACTTCATTAGACTTTTTAATAAAGAATGTACCGATAACGTTGAATTAGATAAAAATTTAATTAAACAAAAGGCATATAATCCATATGTCTTTAAAGTTTGTGTAAATAATAATGAGACAATATCGTAAGTTTTCAGCTATCCAATGTTCGTTTAGAAAACTGATAAATACTACCGCTTAAATTATGATTAAAAACTTTTCTAATACTTCCACCAAATAAATTGTATGAATAGGTATTTATTCATTACATCTTTCGGTAAAATTATTTATCATGTTACAATTGTAATTAAGAGAATTTCCTGATATTAATCACTTTTGGTAGACGATAAAAAAAGATATCATTTTAATTAAAAAAAATCATAAAATTATTTAAAAAAATAAGTGAAAAATCATGCTATGTGTTAAATATCTTATTTTGAAAAAAGTACATGTTATTGAAATAAAGTATTTAAACGATGAAATTTTCATTCAAAAATATTTTATTTCCAACGAGCAACTATCTCGAGCTAGTTTAGCTCATTGATGTGTGTGAATGACTTCCGATCACTGGTAGCAGTGATCATAGCAGTCTTACCAGTCGTCTATCTACCCGTTAAACTGAGAGAAACTCACATAAGAAACGGGTCTAGCGCAAGAACTTCACCTTAAAATCTGCTTCCGGTTCTTTTGTACCGAAAACTATAGAGGACTGGAACAAATTACCTTGTACTGTTGTTCATCAGAATACGCTAAGAGCATTTTCAACTGTATTAAA